CGAACTGAATATACATACAAATTTGATTTTATCCCGGGCATCCTACACCCTTAAATTAATTTATAAATCTAGCATGTCAGATTCAGCTTTTACTGTTTGGAGAATCCCCGGCCATTCTCTACCAGCTTTTGTAGACCAATTCGGTTCAAATTTGCCAAAGAAACAAAAAAACTTTCCGTGCAAGAAGAAGCTTATTTTAAAGACAAAATTAATAAGTTACAACCGACTTCGTTACTTTTCCATAATCGCGAAGTACTTGTGGAGCATTCTTTGCATCTATCAATGGTTGCCGGAAAAATCTGTTCTGCTCTTAGCGATTTATCTACCAACAGATGTTACATTTGTGGAGCAACACCAAATGAGATGAACGACATTGAACGATCTATAAGCAAACCAGAAGACATCTCCAAATATGAGTTTGGCTTGTCGCCACTTCATTCGCGGATTCGGTTTTTTGAATATTTTATCCACGTTTCTTATAAAATTAATTTAAAAAATGGCAATGTCGCTCAGACGAAGATAAGGCTCTTGTAGCGCAAAGAAAGAAAACCGTGCAGCAGCAGTTTAGGGATCGTTTAGGTTTGGTTGTGGACAAGCCAGTAGTATATTTATGCCGGTTCTGGACCGGTGCAGGCAGCGCTGCTAGCAGGCATATGGTTTGCTGCTTGCACATGTGCAAAACCGCTATACGGGTTGCTGGTGCTCTGCCGCAAGCTTTGCTGCTCCGCCGCAAGATGTCGCAGATAATCCAAGTTCAGAACCCAGATAAAAGCCGCAAGATGTCGCTGGTGACAAATCTGGTTCCGGGACCGGAACTGATCACAGGGTGTTCCGCTGATGGAAATCCGAGAAATCCGATACCATTCAGAACCGGAATCGATCACAGGGTGTACCGCTGATGGAAATCTGAGAAATCCGATACCAGGTGGTTTATATGTCGAAAATTAGTAAAGTGTGTTGGTATGCAGTCATAAATGTATACAAACGTACATACGTACATATGTATATACATATATAGATGCCCCACCCCTAGAAAAGTGTGTTAGGAATGTGCACATAGTCGATTGTTAAGTATTTAATATATATGTGTATATGAATGGAAAGGCCTGTTGATGTTGATGATGAGAACAAATAAAATTTAATTTGAAATAAAAGAAAGTTTTATAATTACTTATTTATTTATTATTAGATATTTAATGAAGACATAAATTTTCTTAATATTATTACATTTTTTTCAGCACATATAGAATTTTTATGATATTTACAAGTATTTATATTTGAATTTTTAATATATAAATTCTTTAAGTTTGGACAATTTAAATCATCTAAATTATATAAAATAATATCGTATCCGAATAAACGTTGAATCCATCTGATTTTCTCCAATCCTTTAGCATAGAATATATAATTTTTTCTTTTCATTAATGAATGGATATATTCAATAACAGTCATTAAAGTCGAATCACCCTCTTCCCATTTTATTCCATGATGATTATGATATAACCAGTTGTTAGTTGTTTTATCCCGTATCGTTAACTTGGATTCTTCAAAAGGAGGTTGAATAAGAAACGTTGTTACATGTGAATCATATGTTGATATGCTGACTTCTTTAGCAATAAATTTCTTATTAAAATAGACTCCCTGAACGTCTATAACCAACGTATATTCCTCTGACATTATATAGCTTGAGCTTTTTTTAAATTAGTTTAAAAATTAGTCTTATGAATTTCTATATAAGTTTATATTATTTTTTTTAGAGTCTAATCAAATCCTATTTAAATAATTGTGAACATAAGTATGTATTAGAACCACCAATTTTATTAACTAATCGATCACACTCCGCTGAGTAATGAAAACCAAATATCAAATAAATCTTTTTATATATTACATTTGTATTATTTTTATATGCCATATGAATACGGTAATTCCATACTATAGTATTAAAAGTTAAGAAATTTCCATATCCATATCATGTTTATAACTTTTAATATCAATTAATGTGACATCTGAGCGTAGTGTGGTATCATCTCCAGTAACAATTTCAATTTCACCGTTACTTAGAATTTTCTCGAATGCAACCTGGCGATACTCAAAACAAGAAATATTCAGTTTACGTTGAAGGAAATCACTATCATATGTACAGCGAATTCGTAGCATAATATTATCTTCATATTGAAGCTGAAAATGTCTATAAAAGGGTTGTGAGCTCTCAATTATACCCGAAATATTTTTCTCTTTTTGTATTAGATCTTGCCTAAATGCTTCTATGGCTTCCTGTGTTGTGAAATACTTTTTCGGATTAGATGTAGGCGCTTCTGATGTCGTTTCAGGAATAGATGTTTTATTTACGTCTTCTTTTAGTCCATTTTGATCACTTTGAGGCCATTTCATTAGTTTAAAGTTCAGTTTTATTTTTATAGTATCATTATTAGGTAGTTTTAGAGAAAACTCTGTATTTTCAAATTCATTTTGACTCAAATCAATAGGTATTGTAGATGAGAATACTTGGATAAAACAAATAAATGTTAATAATATAACAAAATTATATTTCATTTTAAGTTTCTATTATGAAAATCAAGATATGTTCCTTAGGTCGCGGTTGAGATATAAATGAGATAGATAATTAGAATATATTAATTTATATATATATATATATATATATATATATATATATATACTTTATATATTACACCTATATGTCTTTACTTTTATCATTTAAATTATTTTTTTTATCGTTAGTGTTATCATCGATAGTATTATCTTTAACTAAATTTTGAACATCCTTTTTAATGAGTTTCCGCTTATTTGATGAAATTATATCTTCTTCAGCATACCGCCTAGCTAACACATCAATTTCACTAAAAATGCATGTCGGTTTAAAACTATTTAAGTTTACATCTTTTTGATCACCTTCATAAACTATACCAACTATTACAATCATACAACCAACAGTTTCTATTTTAACATGTTGGTTATGAGAAAAGTGAAATGATGGAAGATTTAACGGTATTTGTTGAGATCTAGCCAAACATAAAATTTGCGATCTAAACCCTACTTCAGCAGTAAAAAATACCTCTAAGGTTTTATCTGTTGCTATACCGTTAACAATATTAAAACTTTTCCATTGAGCATGGCAAGTACAATACCTATTATTGGGTTTCACGGTTTGACACCAATACATATTGTTTTATCTTTATTTAGTATTAATATATATGTATATATATATATATATATATATATATAAAAGAATCATATCCGTTTTCATTATATTTTATAAAAAATTTTACGTTAATTATAGGAATAACCTTGACTTCATCATTGCTTGCCTAATATATTAATAATAAACTGATGATAAGGAACATATATATATATTTTAGTAATCTATTTATATTTCACAATATGATTCAATAAAAAAAAATGTGAAAAAAATAACCTTGAAGTCAATGTTGTTAACAAAAAAAATATATTAATTTTTTTATTACCCTGCTTATATTTCATAATATGTGACAATTAAAATGTGTCAAATAACCTTGATCTTGATTTCATCATCATTGTTTGTCTAATACGTATATTAATGCTAAGCAGATGATAAGGGATAACCTTGAATTCAATGTTGTTAACAAAATAAATATATTAATTTTTTTATTACCCTGCTTATATTTCATAATATGTGACAATTAAAATGTGACAAATAACCTTGATCTTGATTTCATCATCACCATTGTTTGTCTAATAAGTATATTAATACCAAGTAGGTGATAACGAATTCCCGCATAAATATATAAAAATATGTATATTTAAATGTTTTATTCATCTCTTTATATGTATATTGTTGACTTAGTGAGAAAAGTTGTTAAGTCCACTTTTTATGAAAACTCATATTTTTGATATAGGAAGCAAAGATTGTTAAAAATACATCGTTTCGATAAGAATTAAGGTACTTTTTTCTCGGTCTCTCTCACTTCGGTTCATTAAAAAATTTAATATAAAAATGGAATACATTGAATATTTAATATCAAACGAAATTGTGAATTTGTTCTATTAAAGCTGAAAGCGAGAATAATAAAAAATGAAAACGGAATTAAAAAAGTTATTCCAATTTTCTAATATTAAATATCTACCTTTAAGGGATATGAAGGAAAATACTATGTATGAAATAAATAATGTAGAACGAGTGGAAACAAAGTATGGAGAAAGTATAAGATGTCTAGTGAATCAGGAATATTATATTTACTTACCAAGGAGATTTCAAATTATAACAAAGAATCAGATGGACTACTTAAATAGATGTCCTCATATTATAACGAAAGCTAAG